CAGGGCTGCGCTTCGCTCCCGAGCTCCCGCGGGGTTCCTCCGAGCTCCCCAAAAGTCTCTTGGGCTTCCTTGGTGAAAGCTGCTAAGCTAAGCCTGTAACGTGGGGGACAGGAAGGAAACGGGGTGCTCCGGGCAGCGCCAGCTCTGCTGCATGCTGTCCTCGAGTACACCTGAGCACAGCGTTGGATCCTAATGATTGCTGTGCTGCAGCTTGCTCAGAGACTCAAAGAGCTCGTGTGTATGCGATGCTCTCCATGTCTTGATGAAGTGCCTGTGGTCTTGCTGGAAGGCCTCTGATTAGAGAAATTTTAGTCTGGAAAGCATCTCGGGGCAGGGGGGGCTAATAAGGGCAGGACAGACAAGACAATCTGGACAGAAATAGTCTGTCCCCACCGTGGCACGTGGGTCAGTGGGCGCTGAGGTTTAGTGAGTTAACGGGAAATGCATGCTCGCAGTTTAGTGCAAGTCTTAAGCCAACACATTTCTGGACTTTGACCCACAAGCTCAGAATCACGTCGGTCTCACTTCTGGCTGAGCGTTAGCTGCTCCCTGCGGCTCTAACGACAGCCTCTCATATTTTTTCCTCTTCCAACAAAACATAATGCAATTTTGCAGTCTTAACTGTGTCCATGACAAGGGTAACACGTTCAAAAGGACGGTGGTCACCGTGTTCCCCTTGCGGCAGTGACATGTCCAGCTGCTTTGCCTGAGGAAGGCAAACCGTCAGCTGCCGTGCTGGCATGTGGGCTGGGTGCTGTAGGAGAGGGTCTTTGGAAAACAGCCACAACTGATTGTCCGGTGGGAGAATTTCTGCTTGAAGGTTAGATCAGGTCAGAAAAGATTAAACCCCTTGCTTCAAAAAAAGGGAAACTGAAGTCTGAAGCTGTAAATATAACTAGGAGTGTCTTTAGGGAAGAGAAACTAAATGCTTCTGCTTTTCCTGTTCTTGCAAGAGCAAAGGATGCTTAGTTTTTCTGACAAGCATTCAAAACAAGTGTACTTACACTTGGTGCTCCGTTTTCTTCCAGGACTTTTGCAAGCAGGCAGTGGCAATTAACATTTTAAATACTGATTCCTTCTAAGTCTTGATTTGCTTTCCTACGGAGTCATGGAAAGAGACCACCCTTCATAATCCCCCTCCTCCTCATTTCTGGGTGATAATGTCTGTAAAAGCCGCTAAATAATTTTTACACAAATCCCGTTTTTAGTTGTACTCTATGGAATACTTATGAAATAGAGACTGTTGCACTTCTTGTGTTACAGAATGCAAGAAGCTCTTCCAGGGAATGGGACACTCCCTCTAGGATCGAGTGTCTTTGGCTGCCTTTCGTCTTTGTAATGTTCTTAATCAGCTGGTAAGATCTCCTTGAAGTGTGCAGGACACTTCCACCTCTGAGAATACCAAGGTTTTTTGGAAGCAGTTCTCACTTATGCAAACTCTGCATGGCCCCATTGGTTCTGCTGGTACAGCTGCTTCTGAAGCCGTGCAGGAACCAGCAAAAAATGGATATTTTTAACCTAGATCGGTCTCCTGATCCTGTTCATTCTGTGGCTGGACAGCTGGGGAAAGAAGGGATGTTGCTTCACCAAACTTTGCTAACAGTAGTCTCAAATCCAAGCAGGTGCAGGAGGTAGTGGGAGGAATTTGCTGTGTGTTTTTGGCTATCAACCAAGGTAGCTGTAAGCCCCTGGGCCAGGTGCTGCTTGTGAGGAGCCACAGAAAGTAGCAGAGCGTGTCTGACAGCCAGGGGCACCTTCTGTATGCTTGGAGAACTCTGATGTCCCCCCCAGAAGGAGCAGGCAGATGCTGCAGGGAATGGAAACAGAGGTTCTTTACTTGCTGTCTTAGAGATACTGTGACTGCGTGTAATGAAAATGTCCAGATCTCAGACACGGGCCACATCTTTGGTTTCAGCTGATGATCCTGTTTTGTGTCTGCACTCCAAACAAATATGATCACAGTTGCACGTAGTCTAACAATGTGAGAGGAATGCTTTGGTTCCAATGCTGTTATGGCTACCCAAAGAGAAGCATCTCTGCTTCAGGCCTGCATGAAAGATACAGTTGCCAAAACAGTTGCTTGCTCTTATAGGAAATGTTTCCCTTGTGTTTAAAAAGATGAATTCAGATTTGGGGTCTGATTCTGGGGGGAAGGTGGGTGGGGAATTAATACGAGGTAAGGTTGCCCAGCAGTATCTTCTGGAAAACAAACTTCTGAAGAAAAAAAAAAACCCAAACACCTAAAAGACAAAAAACCTAAAGAGTTAAGATACACGTCATTCCTTCTACCTCATTCTCTACCCTGCTGTCCCAAGCAGCCTTAATGATGTTCTTTCACACTGCCATTGAAGAATGTTCTGTTTTCTGAACCTTTTTCAGTAGATTTTACTCCTACCTATGCTGCATTTAATCACTTGTCCCTGTAAGAGCGTTGCACCCGTTCTTCAGAGCAGCCTTTCCCCTCATTACAGTAGTCTCAGTACAACTTACCATGTTTATCTTTAGCTCATGTTTATCTTTAGCTTTTCTGATGATGGTTCTTGAGACAAGAAGGTCCGAGAGCCCTGTTTGTAGCACAGCCGTGACGGATAGCAGAGCGGGTCTCTCTGGTGTGTGTGCAGGCTTCCCAGGGAGGAGGCATGGGAGCCAGGGAGAGGGGCTCATCCTTCTGTGTCCCCAATGGGGCGCTGGCCTTCCCGCTCGCCCCGTGTCCCAGGTCCCTGCCAAGCTGCTGGGACTCATTCCCCAGTGCTGTGATGCCTTTCCGGGCAAGCGCAGTTAGTGTGCTGAGAGGTGAAACCTGTTGGCTTGTCTCAGCTCCTGGGGAGGTGCTTCTCTTATAATTTCTGATCTTCCAGGTGTTTGATTTTTGCTGAATCCCATCTTCTGGACTTAGAAACAGTGCCACGGAACTATTCTGGTAACACCGTATTGCAGTTCTTATTTCCCTCTGTATTTGCTTTTGCAAAGGAAACATAAAGGCAGCTGGAGCGGAGTGCAGGACGTGTCTCTTAATTGCCTGCATTCATTTAAAAACAACCCCACAACCAAATCCGTATGTCAGAATCTCTCAAAGTTTCAAATAGTTTGGTATTGGGAATTATACACAAAGGCATCTCTTCTCAAACTTCTCACAGGCTGTTCCTGTGGTGTGTGTTATTCACGTGCTCTGTGAGGAAGAAAGCAGATTGTGGCTCAGAGCTCTTGGCTGTTTGCAGTGACAGCAATGAGTGGAGTTTGGGTTTTGTTGATTGGGCGTGTGCTTCTCTTGCCTGTGCGCAATCTCACATGTATATTGTGTTAGCATTTTCCTGTCTTTGCACTTAGCACCCTCATATCCACAACAGTTAAAGAAGATTAGCTTGGGTTCTTGTTCTTTAAATTCTGGTATATGTCAAAGCTCTTTGGAGCTTTGTGTTGTGTGTGTAGGGA